ACCTACAACTACTGGTAAATGTGAAAAGTCAACAGATACATTCTTTTTTATCATCGGAATGATTTATGTCAATTAGCTGGGAAATATCTGCCAATTTTTGCCATTGATAGTAATATATTAGGGCGAGACTGGTATGCATTTTTTAGTTTTAAATCTCACTTCACGTTAGATGATTATGTTACATTATTACATGAAATATCTTTAGACACAATTAGCGATCCAGCCAATGAATTTCGTATTCAAACAATTTATGAACATTTATTAACAATGTTGCTAAAGATACCTCTACAAAATCGTAAAAGTCCAACACTATGTTTATTAGCTGAAAATAATAAATTTTTATCAACAAAAGATTTACACATTTGTTTGGATCAAACTGATATTACTCATTTAAAAGATAAAATTGGAATTTTCAAAGTTCATGATAGAATTAAAAAAATGCCCAATTTTAATTATTTAATTGAATTTTTTAATATTCATAGAATACGACAAGAAAATGCGATATTACGATCAACAGATGACTCTGAATCGGTTGATTTAAAACAAAAATTAACTAATATAACACCGTACATATTAAAATGGCTACGACAAAAACATAAATATTCAAATGAACTACTCGATCAAACACAACGAAAAATATTGCATGTTGAATTATTTGAAGCATCTCGTCTCGACTTATTCTATGAAAATAATTTTTTTTGTCAAACAAATGTTCACATAACAAAAAATCGATTATATTTCATTCGACCATGGAATTGTGAATCAAATATAAAAGATATTCCAAAGAAATTATGTGAAATTTTATCATTACGCAATTTTGAAAATGATATGAAATTTCTATTATATAACACTATTGAAGATATTGACGTTCGATTTATTCGAGATGGCATATCGTTAACAAGTCAAATGAATAGCAACGAAGAAAATGATCATAATTTTAGTATGTTATCGAAAAAGTGTTTTAAGTTATTCCTGTTTTTTTCTTCAGAAATTTAATCTACAGGGTGCGTAAAAATGTTTTTCCAGGGGGGTAACGCTATAATTGCGAATAGGGTAAGTAATGAATTTTATACCAGATGAAAGCCCGTCGAAAACGGGATTTATTGATGCTAAAT